GTCTGCCATGCCATGTGGTCACCTCCGGGGCAGGCAGGAATCGAACTCATGCAGAAGTGGCTTTAGCTTCTTAGTGCTGTGCTCCAACCCGCTACACCACCAGGGAGGGCCTGCCATTCTTTTTTTAATGAAGGTCTTGTTGTGGGAAAGGAGAGAGGAATTAAGTAACTGGTATGTTTAATAATGTTACTGATTTTTCTTTCTCTAGATAATGAACATATTGGCAGGTCAGTAAAAATCGGTAGGATAGACTTTAAGTGGCTTTGATATTATAAAATAGCAAGAAACCACAATTTATCTATGTTGAATATTTTGAATATTTTGTCTACAGTTTCTTTGACAGTCTCATAATTTTGCCATTTTACTTAATTTAAATTTCTAGATATGGAAGAGTTAATTATGTCCTGGCTCGAAGAATAGAACTTTTAGAGGAAGTCAAACGTTTGCAAAAGAGTCTAGGAGTCCCAGGGGATGCTTCATATACTTGTGAAACTGCAGGCTATTTTTTCTTATATCAGGTAAGGGATTAAGATAAACATACTTTATTAAATAAATGTCTTACATTGGAAACTGGGATGAATTCTTGAGACACTGCACAAGTTTTCTTGAAATAACTTTTTCGTATTTAGTAAACTGAAAAGATATACTATTGACAGAAACTATGTTTATGAATGTTAAGCATTCATGTTTTCTATTATCTTCAGTTTTCTTTGTTAAGTAACCTTGATGGCTTACTCTGTGAAAGGTCAGTGATGCTACCTTAAATTTTTTTTTCTTGCTGTTTGACAAGTTTTCATTTTTTTTTCATTGCTCTGGTACTATCACTAAATAGTTATTCATTGGTAACGAACAGCAGTTGTGTGACTTACTTTTATTATGTATATTAATCAAATAATGAATAAAAATATTTTCTTGGCCCTCCCTGGCTGCACAACAGGTTAGGATGCAGCACTGCAAGCCAGCAGTAGCTGCTTCAGTGCAAGTTCAAGCCCCCGCCCCGGCGGTGATCCATATGGCAGGCAGACCTCTCCTCACCCGCCCGCCACTCTCCTCAGCAGTGTACTTCGTTGATCTGCCTGTTCTGTTCCTCATTCTCTCTCTAGCGGATTCTCTCACCACCCCTGTACCCCAGTTCTGTATGCATAAATAAATCTTTTAAAAATTTGTTTTTTCTTTAAATTTTCTAAAAATAATTACATTTTAGAATAAGTTTTAAAATTGAAGTTTAAGATAAAAATTATTTTTATTCAATCTAAAGGTAAATTTTACAAAGCTTTTGCTTTGTTAGGGTTAAATTTTTTTATATGAAAATAGAAAGCTGAATAAAAATAAGAATAAGCTTTATTAGTTGATGTACTAATAACTAAATGAATGAAAGCATAATCAAATATATACTTTTAAAAATTTTTTTTATGCATACAGAACTGGGGTATAGGCGATAGGTAGAAGGGCCATGAGAGGAGTCACCAGAGACAGAGTGGGAAGCAGAACAGGCAAACTGACGAGTACACCACTGAGGGGAGACCGGGGAGGGTCAGGAGAGGTCTGTCAAGCCATCTGGTCACCTCTGGGTCCGGGGAATCCAGCTCTCACCAAAGCTATGGAAAGCTTCGCAGTGCTGCACTTTAACCCATTGTACCACCAGGGAGCGCCCCTCAAATAATAAAGATCTTTGTTTAACCTTACCTATTTGTATAACAGTAAAAATGAGCAAATGTCATAGTTTCTTGTGAAGCAGGGAAGATGAGATGCATCATCTTGGAAAGTAGTTGCTACTAGACTTAGACTATTTAAAACTTTAATGTAGTAAATATCATGCTTAAATACATATTTGGCATAAAATGAAAGTGCCTATATTCTCAGAGAGAAACCATCTATAAATTTTGGAGGTTTAAGTATTAAATTTGGGGAAAATGCAGATCCACAATTTTCAACATCATAAGAACCACATTGGAAAAGTTGTTTTGAAGGTGAATTCTCAGCTTCTCTCTTCAGAGATTTTCTTTCAGTAGTGAGTAACACAGGAATCCACAATTTTGTTTCTCAGATATACTGGCTAAGGACCCTACTTAGGAAGCAATAAGATTATAATAGAAAAAGATCCTGGAAGGTTACAAAAGTTGAATTTTAGTATAAACTGGAGGGCAGGGGCATAGTTAATGTGGTACTAGAATATAATTGACATCACAAATGGCTTAAAATTAGCTTTCATATACACACACACATTCAGCTTAACTTTAGAGGTCCATAAATAAAGAGAATCAGAAAAACTAAAAGGTCTGGTATAAGGGTAGACAGATGCCAAGTTGACTAAAAACTTGACTATCACATGTGGAGAGAAACTAAAATAATGAAAAAGTCAGAAATTTGTCCAGTTAGTTTTTTTTAAGCTTGTATAATAAACTGTCTTGAATATACATGAAGAATCTGATATGCCTCATATGAAGTCCTGTGAATTTATCCTGAACTTCTTTCCAGTGTCCTCCATTTTGATTAGTCTTTTTCCCCTACAATCTTATAGCTTAGTTATATTAAAAAAAGGCAATTTAATAGTGCCTTGGGTAAAAAATAGTACTCTTAATCAAAAATTGCTTTTCTCTTCTTTTACCTACTAGCTCTTTTATTGTTTCTTTTTTAATTAAAACTTAATTAATTGGTAAATTTGAGCTTAAGTCCCTTTTTCCTATAGGTAATGTCTCGTTGGGAAGAGTATATCAGCAAAGTGAAAAATAAAGGCAACACATTACCAGATGTTTCAGAAATCTCCAGTTTCTTCCCTTTTCATGAATACTTTGCAAATGCCCCTCAACCCATTTTTAAAAGTCGCTCTTATGAAGAAGACATGGAAATTGCAGAAGGATGTTTCAGGCATATTAAGAAAATCTTTACACAGCTTGAGGTAAGGATTTCAAGTCCTTTTAACTTTCCTTTTAAGATTTAAGTTTAGTTGGTCTTTTCATTAGTATGGAATGTTCAAACTGTATAAGCTCATTTTTACTTTTAAGAGTGACTGTTGAAATGTTTATAATTTTATTTTAAGAAATAAGTGAAAATGAAGAAATGAATTGAAACTCGTTATTCTGACTTTTCTAGTATAAAATCTTAGTATTTTTTTCAGTTTCACAAGCAACTTTTTAAAAAGTTTTTTCAATATATCCATTACATCTTTCATTTTTGTACAATGTATGACTCCCCGTGATATTCCCACTACCAACTCACCCGTCTACCATCACCAGGGCCCCTTTGTGCTTTTCCCATCCTTTCCTGGTCCTTTCCCCTCCTTCCCTATAGGAATGTCTTTCATCTGTAGTTGCCTGATGATTTTTTAAAATCTTACAATTTAAGGAAAGATTAGTTCTGGCAGGAAACTTAGAAGTACTTCTTTGAATTAGAATTTGAGACCACCACATGGTCATTCTAAATCCTTCCTGCCTTTTTACCAATGGACACAAAATGAGGTTGCTGTGTTAACCAGCATCATGGATCTTTTATTAGATGCTCTGCTTGGACTTGTTTGCTCCTTACATCCATCTGTTGTCCATTCCCACTTGGGCTGTGTGAGTGATCCTCTGCCATGGTTTGATGGGGAAAGTGCTGCTGATCCTTGGAGACATCATTTCTCAGCCTTCCTTGTCAACTGATTCCTGGCTGGGTTTACCCAGTGAGAGATGCAGCAAGAATAGAAGAAAGAGGGAAGCCAGGAGAGTTCTCTACCAGCCTTCTGTTTCATCTCTGCCATGTCCCTAGTTTCTTCCGCCTGGCCATGCTGGCTGCAACTTACTCTGATGCCCCTGTGCTGGGGCCCTGTTAGCAGTGTCTCCTCTTTTCCCTCTCACCTTAGGACCCATAGTAGTTCCTGCTGTTACTTACTGTTCCCAGGTTGCACTTTCTGCTCCTCTGTCGTCTGTATAAACCAGAACTGTATGCAGTTCCCTTTGTTATGAAAAATTGAAATAGTTTCAGTTTTCCTGGTAGGACCCTGTGTATCTCATATATATACATATATAGTGATTGTTGTTTTGGTCAGTATTCATGTTTCTGTTGTAGATATTTTACCTTACAGAGCTATCAGAATTGTAGTTTGGATACCAGCTATCATTTGAACTCAATTAACAACTAATAATAAACAATTATAATTCATTAGGCTTATTTTATGATTTTTTAAATTAATTTCTCATGAATAAAGTCTGATTAACTAGAATCTATGAATATATGTAAATTATATGTTTATTTGCTTAACATCTTTCACTTCCCTCCACCCCCGTAGGAATTCAGAGCCTCTGAACTGCTCCGTAGTGGACTAGACAGATCCAAATACCTTTTGGTAAAAGAAGCCAAAATCATTGCTATGACCTGTACTCACGCTGCCTTAAAACGACATGACTTAGTCAAGTTAGGTTTCAAGGTACAGAATTAATCTATCAGCTGCTGTTAAGCCTTTGTTTCTTTTTCCTTTCAAGATTGGCTGTTTCTATTGAAGTTTGCATTTTGCAATTCAAAAAAGATATGTCTCTTAAAGGTGATGATAACCTCCATGTATTTATAACTGGTGAACTCCAAATATAATTTTTCTAAATCTAGTAGTAATACATTCACTAAGTAACATTACAATAATATGATTGTCTAACCAAATTATAATACTTGTTAAGGTGGCATGCTTTATTTCTACTATGTTAAAAATTATCAAAACTGAACTAAGAGCTATTTAAAAAACATTTAATAATATTTTTCATCCATTAGATATCTGCATGCTTGTATCATTCACATTTTAAGCACATATCCTCTCCCAGTTGTTTATTCATTTCAGTGTATGAAAAGCCTTCCATAAGAGTATATGGAATACTTTTATTTAGACTTTAAAATAAGATATTAAAATTACTGTATCATATGCTAAAGATAGGGGAGAGCTAGATAGCCTGTGACTTGATTGAAGTGTCATGCAATAATTGACCGATAAATTTGACTTTGCAGATAGATCTTACGTCTGATTTTAATACAATTTATAACTGGTTTATCTGTTGTTTAAAATAGAGTTTGTATAATAACTTAAATTCAAAGTTAGCAAAGTTATCTGTTTATGAAAGTAACTGACAGTGTTAAATGTTATGAGTTCACTGGAACATAATTGCTAATTACAAGGTGATAGACGTATTATCTTGAGTGAAAGGTTACTCAGCTGTAAGATAAGACAAGAATGATAATTTTTTAAAAGGTAGTGTGAGTGTACCCTAGTGGTATGAGCTTACCCTTTTACAAATTATTAATAAGCATTTTTTACCAATTTTGACCTTGGAGATGGCATAAGATATACCTTGCATTTGATATTAAATCATATGAATTTAATAACAAGGGGAATGATACAATTATATTTAGCATTTTATACTTCTGTGCATTTATTTAATGATATTTTCTAAAGCATTACTTGTAGCTTCGAATGTTTACTACTCATTTTCTCTACTTACATCATGCTAGGTATCGATAGACTGTTAACTTCAGTGCTAATAGTAGCCTTTAGATTGTCCATATTTCTAATTTCAGGCTCTTTTTTTACCAAAAATATATATGCATCTGGTTTAAGAATTATAAATCTTGTAGAGCTAATTAAATAAGGCAGCGCCACCAGCTTCCCTACTTCCCAATTGACCGGTAGTATTTCAACCTTCATAATTTCCATTGTCCCTTCCAAAAGACATATTAAATTTACATCTTAGAATTTGTCCTTTCACTTTGTGTTACTTGTGAGAAGACATAGATGCACATTGGTGCCCTTGTCCTTTCGTATTACTTCCATGATTTTTTTGTAATTGAAATTTTTTTAAAAACAAACTCTATAGATATGTTTTTATAAGTTAAATTGTATTATGTTCAGCATTGTTTTGCAGGAGACAGCTTTCAAAGCTGTTCCTCTTTGAGCTACTCCCACTCTTTTACATGTTGTAGCTATTGTCCTGAAAATATATGCAGAGACTTGTGAGAAAATGTAGCTTTTTAAATTTCTTTTTCCTAAGCTTCCACCAACATGCCCTAATGAATCACTGTAATAGATAATTCACCATCAGGTAGTGAAAGACCTGTCCACATGCCTATAGCATCAAAAAATTCACTAAGAAATAGTTCAAAATTAAACAATAACTGTTACTGTGTCCGGTGGAGTCCAGCTTAGCAACCAGTCTTGGAAAAAATGTAAATAAGAGCATATTT